TCTTTTTTTTTTTTTTTTTTTTTTTTTTTGGTACCAGGGATCAAACTCAGAACCTTATGCTTATGAGGCAGGTGGCAGCACCACTGAGCTAAATCCCCAGCCCTCCAAACTTTTAATTATACCTAAGGCTTAATTTCTGGGAAGAAGTGTGACTTTCAAGAGATGCTTTCCAATAATACTAACAGTAGAGGCAGGCACTCATGAGGTCATCCTTATACACCCGGCCCTGTGCTGAAGCCTTTAAGTACATGATCTAGTTTAAGATATGCCATTTCTGGGATGGAAGTATTAACAGGACCAGGCTGCCCCATAGGGAATGAGGTTTCTCAAGACTATGGAACTTACACAGGCTTAGATGACTGCTAAGTGGCAGGTTTATGTAACTCCAAAGTTGGCATTCTTATTTATATGGCTCGACGTCAGCATCTTGAAGTGAGTTTGGGAATCCCCAACTACTTCCCATTGCTGTCCAGGAGCTGGGGAGAACCAAATCCCGACCAAAGTGAGGAAGGTAATGCTTCACCATGACTGAGGAACAGTGGGGAGAAACCAGTATAGAGAAACTCTCTACAGAAAATGGCTAACTAGAAAGGAGAGGATGATCAGGGGCAGAAAGAATAAAGGGCTTTTAAAAGAAAGTTAAGTATCGAGGAGTGCATGCTTTCGTATACACAGCTGGAGGAGGGGAGTCCTTGTCGTAATAAGCACTGCTTACTGAGTGCTCACCAGCAGGCGCCCTGCTAAGTGCTTTGCAGGCCAGCTTCCATCTTTTCCAGCAGCTTTCATACTATTGTTCTGCCTTTACAGCCGAGGAACAAAGCCACAGAAGAGGTAAATAACTCGCTCAAGGCCACTAAGGGTAGGAAGTGGCCGATCTGCTCTGAACCTGGCAGTCTGATGTTAAGAGAAGCTTCCTAATAAGAAGCTGACCCAAGACCAAGCAGAGGGTAGAGAAATGAACCTCCACCCGTGGGCTGGCCCCTGCCCCACCTGCCTGATGGGGAGGAAGGGACCATCAGCAGCCACCACAGCCCCAGAGGACCAGGAAGGGAGGGATCAGTGAAGTTTCTGTGAGCAGAGGTATGAAGTCCACACCTCAAAGAAAGATCCTGCTCACAGCAAATGGATTTGGGACTAGTTTCCCCCCTGTATTCTGCCTACTGCTTGTCACCTGCACTCTTGACAAATAATCAGACTTTTCCTTGGAAGCTGACAAAAGTCCATGGGCTCAATCTGCCTAAAGACATTTTTTTCTCTGCACATTTTCTACATGTTTCTACAGGTGAGAGTGTTTTTCGCTCGGCTCACAACTCCTTTTCCAAAGCTCTTCGGGCCAGACGTACTTGAATTCAGAACCATCTACTCCCTGTGTAGGGGCGGCACCCTGTAGTCAGTGTTTCTGCAGCAAAATGAATGAGAATCACAATTATGGGGGTGAATAAAGACCATATAAAAACCTCATGTTACACCACGTTTTATCTCCAAATGAGTTATGATAAAACTGTTTTAAAAGTTTTTTTGAGCTAGGCGTGGTGGTGCAGGCCTGTAATCCCAGCACTCTGAGGGCAGGAGGTTCATTTCAAGTCTGAGGCCAAGTTGGGCTATATAGTGAGTTCAAGGCCAGTCTGGACTACATAGTGAGAATCTGTCTCAAAAAAAAAAAAAAAAAAGATATTTTGATTTTGGAATTACAGATGGAAACCTGGATTCAGATACTTCAGGCTCTCAGTTTAATTCTTTTTACTTACCACCTGGTTTTATAGTCAGAATGTGTGTGTGCGCGCGCGCGCGCATGTGTATTTGCGCAAATGCATTTGCTATCTCATTAAGATTGTGAGCTCACAGAGGGCAGAGAACCTTTAGTCTTTCCTTAGTGTTTAGCATCTGGAATCAAACTTTTCTCTCTTGAGAGAAAATATGGCATAAAAGTGCTGGTCACCTAGGGAGTCAAGGGAGGGCCTCCAGTCACAGGGCCTTGGCTACTAGCACTTGCTCTTCCTGGTTCTAGGCTGTTTAGAAAAACACTCTCAGGCCAGGTGTGGTGGTGCATGCCTGTAATCCCAGCACTTGGGAGGCTGAGGCAGGAGGATCACTGTGAGTTTGAGACCAGCCTGGGCTACATAGTGAGTTCCAGGTCAGTTTCAACTACATAGTGAGACTCTGTCTCAAAAAACAAAAACAAAAACAAAACAAAACAAAGAAAACGAAAAAGACTCTCAAAGGAGGAACTTAAATAAAGATGAAGATTACTCTGAGACTTTAGTCTATTCATACAAATCAAATGTGCAGTAAGACTCTACTTCTTAGAAATCTAGATGATCACAGTTACGAATGTATGCAGGGCTGGGGATTTAGCTCAGTGGTTCCACCGCCTGCCTCGCAAGCACAAGGACCTGAGTTCCATCCCCGGCAAACTGCCCCCCACAAAAAAGAATGTATGCAGACAGCAGTTCATAGATTTGGGAGTGAACCAGGCACCTGCCATTAGCTCAACAAGCTGGATAAGCCTCAGAACTCTCCTCTGTGATATGGGATAACATTAGAACCTCTCACTGGGTTAAATGAGTCAAAGTACATAAAACATTTACTATAGTACCAGATACACAGACAAGACTGTTATCAGCCAAAGAAATCTTGGGATCACTTCACTAGCTCTACCACTGGGAAGAATCACCAAGTCAGCTGGATACGGTGACACACGCTTGTAATCCAGCACTTGGGAGGCTGAGACAGGAAGCTCCCCAATTTGAGGCTAGCGACACAGTGAGCTTAAGGCCATCATGAACTACAAAGTGAGACCCTGTCTTTTATTTATTTTATTTTGAGACAGGATCTCACTATGTAGTCCAGACAGACTGTCTTTAAAAGGACAGGAACTGGGGATGTAGCTCAGTGGTGCCGCACCTGCCTCTTAAGCACAAGGTACTGAGTTCAATTCCCAGTACCAAAAAAAAAAAAAGAAAGAAAGAAAGAAAATGAATCACTGAGTCACTGAAAGGAAAACTGCAACGTTTTGAAAAATTCAAGTAAATTCAGTTCAGCAAAAATTTATTGAGAGGCAGGTGGCAGAACCACTGAGCTAAATCCCTAGCCCTGAAGCTTTTTTTGGCTTAGACTCCCCCTGGATGGGAGATAGGGAGGAAGAGTGGATGTAAGTGGTCATGAATGTGTCCTATCTGAAGTCTGAGGAAGGTACCCGATAGCAGAGGGCACTCCAGGCCAGATAATAAAGAGCCATGAGTGAGCTGAGTGTAGGTGGAGCCCAGGGACAGCAGGAAAACTCATTCTGGGCCACTTGACTAGACAATGAAATGACACGCTGACTGCTGAGCTCTGAGCATGATGTTTGTCCTTGTACATACAAGACAGTTAGCCCTCCTGATACTTATGTGGGGCTATGTCCACGTCAATTTAAAAAGAGGGAACTGAGGCTCTGAGAAGCTAAGAAACATGCTCAAGAGTAAATGGCAAGGCCTGGGATGTAGCTCAATGGCATTGCAACTGCCTGGCAAGTGCAAGGTCCTGAATTTGATTCCCACTACAGGGGGAAAAGAAAAGAATGGCAGGTCTTGCTCTCATACTAGACTCCAAAGCTCAGGCTGCTAAGCACCATTATGGCATCTGCTACCTTGTGTTTGAGGAATTATTAGGTGATATTATTAGGTGTTCCCCAGGATCCAACATGTTTAGGAAATGTTGCCTACTAGACTCCTTCCTAACAGTCAGCTTTACAAAGGCTCTGAGAAGTTCTCAAGTAAAGAAACTGGCAGCTTGGTTGTAATCCAGAGCTTCCCAGACACTATTTTCATAGTGGGAACACTATTTTCATAGCCCAATTGGCCCATACAGCAGCTAAGGAAAGGATACACTGGGTTATAAACTGTTACTGGTTCTCTTGTTTGCCTTCTGGGGAGTCTGGCTGCTCTGTGCCAGCTGAGTTTCACAGAAGTGGGAGAGGAGGGGCAAAACAGGAGTGAGGGTCTAGGAAAAGGCGAGTAAAAGCCGCTAACAGCTTCCACAGGTGGGTGGGCGGCGCGGGGGGGGTGCTGACACCAGCTGCATGCTTGGGGGCAGGTGTGCCGCTGACACCAGCTCCAGCCTGCCCCGTGGAATGCCATCAATACCACAGACACCGCTGTTCCAGCCGACAGTTCTAACAGCGTCGTCAAGGATACCGAAATGGGAAGACAAACAGGGCTGAGTCTGAATTCTAGGAGCTGGACCTCTGGTGCAAGGATAACAACTTCTTTCCTGTTCCTTTTTTTCAAAACTCACCAAAAGAAACGGTGGCTGTATTATGGGATGCACATGAGGCGCCCACAGACTGGCTAGCCTGCGGGTCAACTCCCCAGCACTGTGTGTGATGGCGTCATGTAACTCAGAAGGATGCCACTGCTCTCAATCGACAGATCCCAGACTGGATAAGGTCACAATGACTCCTTTGAGGCTGAGGCTGTACACCTGTGATGCCATACGAAGTACAAGGGAGACAAAAGCAGGCAGAAGAAAGAGCTTTTTTTTTTGTGGGGGGGGAAGAGGCCAGTCCCCTGGGGATTGGCTCAGTTCTATTTGCTGTGGAAGGTGGGCACTGGCCAGCTCTGCTAAGATCTCTTTCCCGCCTTCCACATTTAATTAGCAATCACTTAACTTATCGTTCATCTTCTCCTCAACCACCTCAAACCAGTCAATATCATTTTGAGCAATAACAGGCAGGAGGGTGTTCCTGACCAGAGATTCTCATCTGCTCAGTATGCAGAACCAAGCAAGGAGAGAGAAGGCAAGTGACACTGTGTGTGGCTTTTCTGTCTGTCTGCAGCCCCGTGGTCAGTGAACTGCTGGGTAGCTTGTTCTGGGATTTTACTGACAATGAATAAGCAGGGCACAACTGGGAAATGGTGAGGGATGAACTCCTTCAGCTCACAGGTTGTAACTTCTTGTCCCCCAGCAGGGATGTTGCTGACCTCAGCTGGCCAGGATCTAAAGCAGTCCTGGGCTCCCAAGGAGAGCTCTTTTTATGCCACTCAGAGTGCACACAAATCCACCTGCCTCCCTAGGCCTCTTCTAGCTTCCGTGCTGCAAAATAATACTGTCTTCCTTCCATTCAGGACTCATCTTTTGGCCCATGAGCACAATTGTTTTTTTATTGAAACAGAAATCTTGCTATGTTGCCCAAGCTGGCCTCAAACTCCTGGACTCAAGTGATCCTGCTGCCTCAGAGTAGTAGAGCAACCACTAGTGAGTGGGAGTCCAGCACTCACCTTAGGATGTCAGAACTGGATACTTGTTGGAGAAAAGGGGATTCATGACTTTCTAATTTCCATGCTGCAGGATTATGTCGAGGATGCTGAGGCCTGCTACAGTTTGGATCTTAAATGTCCCCCAAAAGCACATTTGTTAAATGCTTCACCCTGGGGTGGTACTGGTGGGAGGTGGTGAAACCTTTAAGATGAAGGGCCTAGTGAGAGGTCCTTAGGTCACTGAGGGTGTACCCCTCAAATGAACTGTGGGACTCTGTTTTTTTCCTTTTTGCTCCCTAGCTTATGATGAGAAGTTTTGCTACATGTTCCCACCCATGATGTTGCCTTGCCACAGGCCTTAAATGGTGCCACTAAACATCCAAAACTGTGAGCCAAAATAGAAAACCTCTTCTAAGTTAATTATCTTGGTATTTTGTTAT